CCCTGAATCATTCCTCTTGAGTATTTTAGTAAAGTAATAAAAATTTGATGAGGCCCGTGCTGTGGTGTAGCAGGTAAAGCCACTGCCTGCAGTGCTGGCATCCCATATGGGTACCAGCTCGAGTTCCAGCTGCTCCACTTCCAATCCAGCTCTCCGCTGTGGCCTGGGAAAGCAGTGGAAGATGGCCCAAGTCCTTGGGCCCCTGCAACTGCATAGGAGACCCGGAAGAGGCACCTGGCTCCTGGCTCCGGATCGGCTCAGCTCTGGCCGTTGTGGTCAATTGGGGAGTGAATCAGTAGATGGAAGACCCCCCCTCCCTGTGCCTCTTCTCTCTCTGTAACTTTGATTTTCAAATTTTTTTAAAAAATTTGAGTAAGATACCACCCCTGGTACTCACACACTTGCCTTCCACCCACCATCAAAATACAGTTATCTTTTACTTTGATTGAATCTATTTTCAGTGCTTTTTAAAAAAGATTTATCATAATTTATTTGAAAGGCAGAGTTATGGGGTTGGGGGGAGCAAGAGAGATAGAGAGAGATTCTTCCATCCTGGTTCATTCACCAAATAACTGAAACGGCCAGGACTCAGCCAGGCTGAAGCCAGGAGCCTAGAACTCCATCCTGGTCTTCCATGTGGGTGGCAGGGGGCCCAAGCACTTGGGCCATCCTCTGTTGCTTTCCCAGGTACATTAGCAGGGAGCTGGATAGGAAGTGGAGCAGCCAGGACTCAAACCAGTGCCCATATGGGATGTCGGTATTGCAGGTAGCCACTTAATCCACTGGCCACAACACTGGCCCCTATTTCCAGTGTTTAGTCTTTGTCTTTTTTCTTTTCTTTCTTTCTTTTTTTTTTTTACAGGCAGAGTGGACAGTGAGAGAGAGAGACAGAGAGAAAGGTCTTCCTTTTGCCGTTGGTTCACCCTCCAATGGCCGCCACGGCTGGCGCGCTGCGGCCGGTGCACCGCACTGATCCGATGGCAGGAGCCAGGTGCTTCTCCTGGTCTCCCATGGGGTGCGGGGCCCAAGCACCTGGGCCATCCTCCACTGCACTCCCTGGCCACAGCAGAGAGCTGGCCTGGAAGAGGGGCAACCGGGACAGAATCTGGCGCCCCGACCGGGACTAGAACCTGGTGTGCCGGCGCCGCTAGGTGGAGGATTAGCCTATTGAGCCACGGTGCCTCCCCTCCCTCCTTCCCTCCCTCCTTCCTTCCCTTCCTTCCTTCCTTCCTTCCTTCCTTCCTTCCTTCCTTCCTTCCTTCCTTCCTTCCTTCCTTCCCTTATTTGAAAGGCAGAGTGACAGAGAGAGGGAGGATCTCTATGGAAACGTAATTAGCAGAGCTCTCGCGCCTTCTGCACCGTGAGGGACATCCACTCTTGGGGGCGGCTGCTCCCCTGCGTCCCAGGCTCTCCTTTCATACGCACCCTGGATGTCCCCTTCATTTCTTCCCTACACTCATCCCACTCCTTCAGGGCTCGTGCTTTCCTATTTCAAACATCTTTTAAAACATATACTTATTTTCATTTTATTTGAAAGGCATAAAGAGTGAGAGACAGAACTTCCACCTGCTAGTTTATGGCCCAAATGAGTGCAAGAGGACCAGGCCCAAGCCAGGAGCCAGGCACTGCTTTTGGGTTTCCCACGTGGGTGGCAGGGATCACCTGTCGCCTCCCAGGGTGTGATCAGCCGGACGCTGGATCAGAAGCAGAGGAGCCAGGACTCACCCCACATCGTTCCAGTGAATTCCATCTTGTTTAAGTAAGAGTCAGCTTCTCTTGTTGACAACTGAAGAACTCTGATCTCAAAGAGTTCCACTGCGGAAACAGACATGCGCACAAGCAGCCAGGTGGCATGAGAGTCACCGTGACCAAGGTGCCAGGAGGGCACGTAGCAGCATAGATGAACTCCATCAGGTGGCACGAGTGTCATGAGACCACAGGCGGAAGCAGCAAAGGAAAGTCTTTGGGGTTTCAGAACAAAAGTATCTACAACACCTTGGCAGTTTCTAAAAACATGGGCATATTAGAAACCATAAGAAATTTACATGGTGGGTGTGCCAAGGGTCAAGGGAGCAGTGGCTGTGGGGAGGCTGGAGAAGTAGGCAGGTCCTGGTCATTTCCCGTCAGAGTTTGGTTTCCCAAAGGGAGGGATCCAGTCTTAGGTATGGAAGAGGAGGAGACTGGAGATGACCGACTTTGCAAGGGGGCATTTGGAGGGGGGTCGACACTGCTCGAGAAACCGCGTCGCATATCGGAGCGCCTGCATTCAAGGCCTGGTTCTGCTCCCAACTGCAGCTCCCTGCACACCAGCAGAGATGGCTCAAGGACTTGGGTCCCTGTCACCCACCCGGGAGACCCAGGTCAACTTCTAGGCTCCTGGCTTCGTCCTGGCCCAGCCCCAGCTCCAGGTGCTTGCAGGCAATTGGGGATTAAGCCAGTGGATGGAAGATTCTTTCTCTCTCTCTCTCTCTGAGATAAAAATTTTAAATAATAATAATAAAAGATGAGGGAGTTTGGAGTTAGACTGAGTTCAGTTCCTGGCTCTGCTTTCTCCTTGTGTGACCTTATGCTAGTTCTTGAGTCTCTCTACAGCTTGGATTCATCATCTATAACATGTGAAAATAACAGTATCTACCTTCCAATGGATTACCTGCTCTGTGTGAAGTCTTTTTTTTTTTTTAATTTTTTTATTTGAAAGATAGAGTAGACAGTGAGAGAGAGACAGAGACAGAGAGAAAGGCCTTCCTTCCGTTGGTTCACTCCCCAAATGGCCGCCACGGCCGGCGCTGTGCTAATCTGAAACCAGGAGCCAGGTGCTTCTCCTGGTCTCCCATGGGGTGCAGGGCCCAAGCACTTGTGCCATCCTCCACTGCACTCCCGGGCCACAGCAGAGAGCTGGCCTGGAAGAGGGGCAACCGGGACTAAAACCCAGCGCCCATATGGGATGCCGGCGCCGCAAATGAGCCATGGCACCAGCCCTGTGTGAAGTCTTAGTGTAGTGTTCGGCCCACACTGTTTCTAATGATGCTAGCTATAATTGTTACAATGAAGGTGGAGCAGCACCAGCCACCGTGGCACAGTAAGTTAATCCTCTGCCTGTGACACTAGCGTCCCATATGGGCACTGGTTCGAGACCCGGCTGCTCCTCTTCCCATCCAGCTCTCTGCTATGGTCTGGGAAAGCAGTAGAAGATGGTCCAAGTCCTTGGGCCCCTGCACCTGCATGGGAGACCTGGAAGAAGCTCCTGGCTCCTGGCTTCGGATCAGCCATTTGTGAAGTGAACCAGCGGATGGCAGACCTTTCTCTCTCTCTCCTTCTTTCTGTCTATAACTCTACCTCTCAAATAAGTAAAGAAAATCTTTAAAAATAAATAAATAAAAGGAAAAAAGAAAGAAATGAAGGTGGAGTGTGGGAGCCCAGCTGGAGTTATCACAATAGTGTGGGTATAAGGCCACCTTCTAAACCTCTCCCACTAAGGTGCCAACAGGAAATTGTTTTTGTGTGTGTTTTCACTAGAGGCAGGAAGAAAGACACCCTCTCTGATCAGGTATCTTCTTCATTTTTAAACTCTTTCCCAAGGCAATTATTTCATTCATAAGATTCATACATTCATAATAGTCAACAGAACACAAACACAGGGGGGCAAAGTCAACAGGCCATGGCCATGAGCTGGGTGGCATCGAGCTACTCCCAAAGTCCTCGGGTTCAGAGAAAGCCCACACCAGCCGGGGCACCTCCCACACGCCTTCCCTGTGCAGGGGACATGGGTCTAACCTGGCCATCTCGGCCATCCTGGCCGCATGTGCTGGCTGGCAGGAACGGCCCTGCAACCCTGTTGCCCTGTGGTTGTCATTCGAAGCTGCTAGATGCCTCTTCCTACCCCAGCCAGCCCAACTGAGCATACCCAAGAGGGAGCGCAGTGCGGGGCATGAACTCTGGGAAGGCGGGCCCTGAGCTTTTTCTGCACTTGGGGTGGCCCAAACATCTGGTCCATCTCAGTGGTGGCCATGGTTTGTTCCCCATGGGCTTATGCGTTGAGAACTTGGTCCCCAGTGTGGTGACATGAGAGCTGATGGAACCTGGAAGAGCCAGGGCCTCAGGGGAGGCCCTTGTGTCACTGGGGGCCCTGCTCTTGGAAGGATTAAGGTAGTTCAGGCACCCCTGAGCCAGGCCCCGCCCAGCTGCCTTCTTTCCTGTCTAGGGACCTGGTGTCTTGCTCCAACACTTAACTCTTAACTGCTGCCAAAGTAGTCCTCACCAAAGCTGAGCCGTGTCCTTGAACCTCCCAAACTGTGAGCTAAGAATCCGCTTTTCTCCATAAGGAGCCTGCCTGAGATTTTGTTACAGTGGCGAACAGGGCCTGGTGTCTCTTCCATACCCTCCCTAAGGCCTGGTAACTTGACCCTCAGTACTCAGTATCAAGTACTCAGGCGGCACCTAGAGGGGGCGTATTTCAGTGGCGTTTTCCAAGTAAATACTGCCTGGTTGGCCAAAGCTCCTGCCCTATCTCCAACACCAAAGACGCCGGGTCTTCCAGTTTGCTTTCCTGAAGGTCTGGTTAGAAGCAGCGAGAGCCACCAGGGCCGTCTTGTCTCGCTCACAGGAGCCACACCTTCATTGGCAACCAGCGTGTGCCCGGCCTGGGGCGAGCCTTCAAATGCTTACACCAACACAGCGAGTGGGGGACATGAGGACCCAATTTCTCATTGGAGACAAATGCAGCAGCACCAAGACATCTCCCAGCTGGTTGCCAGCCCTTCCAGGCTCGCTCTCACCTGCGGCTCATAGCAGCCTGCCTCTGTTCCTGCACCCTTGGGAAGAGGAGGTCCGGTCTCTTTTCCTGGGACTGGCTTTCCTGGCTTTGCTTGGCTGCTTTGGGGGTTCAGTGGAGCAGAGAGCAGCTTCCCCCCCAACTCACTGTCTGGAGAACTGAGCTCCTCTTCTGGCGAGTCCCTCCCCAGCCTGCAGCCTCCCTACAGCACAACCCAGGACAACCAGGACTCCCTTGGAGGTTTATTGGTGGACGTATGGAAGCACCTGTTATAAACACCATCAAGAGCCAGGGAAGACCGCCGCCCCGCGGGGGCAAAGTGTCAGGGTCCCAGAAAGTTCTGTCCTAGGGAACTGGCTACTGGAGCCTGCATGCGGTGCTCATCCGGGTCCTCTTGTTCCCAGAGGCTGTGGCTCAGGGCGGCCCTCATGGGGATGTTCAGGTGGACCTGCGATGCCACCAGCGAGGGCACGGAGTCGCAGCTGTTGGAATCGGCTATGTCGATGGTGGGAGTGATGCTCCTGTCGGAGCCCAGGAATTTCAGGGTCATGGAAAGCAATGGGAGAAAAAGAAAACATTCTTAGAATGTAACTTAAAAACCACTCTCTAATCATTGTCGTTTCTAGCATGGGTGACGACATGCGTGGTATCTTTAAGATGTCCGGGAGCCCGGATGGCTGTGGGGGTGGGGGGCTGGAGCCAAGGCCTGCCCGGCTGTGGAGGCTCAGACCCTTGTTCTGGCCCCCAACGCTGCTTCAGGTGCAGAACATGATGCGTCCCTACACAGAGGCAAAATCTGACCTGCTGGGAGCCACCCGGTGGCCACCATATCCCGCAGGGCCCCCTGAGCCTAGGCCCGAAGGAAATTTTAATCAGTTCTCTAAAGTAATAAAGCTTAAAAAAAAAAAAAAAGCCACCTAGTGTCTACAAAAACACATGTGTAGCCCAAAACGTTTTAAAAATTCTGAGTAGGGGTGAAATATGCATTGGTTTTAAAAGAATAAACCAGCAATTCTAAAAAGCACTGGAAGGAGAATAAAAAGTGCTCGCTCTGGAACTACTCAGAGGTGAGTGCAGTAAGCTGTATTCTTTCAAGTGGAACTAACTGCAGAGTTTTTTTTTTTTTTTTTTTTTTTTGACAGGCAGAGTGGATAGTGAGAGAGAGAGAGACAGAGAGAAAGGTCTTCCTTTTGCCGTTGGTTCACCCTCCAATGGCCGCTGCACGAATATTCAGATGGAAGGGCTGCTGGGAGCCAGTGTCACTGACCCCAGGGGGGACTCTGCTGGGGGTAAGCATGCCAGAGCTGCCCATGCGGGCGGGGGCGGGGTGGGGGGGACCAACCTGTCGGCTGTGAACTGGGCCCTTCCGGAGAGTTCTGAGAAGCTGCCGCTGGTCTGCTCGGCCGCCAGCAGCATGAGGGTCTCGCTGGGCTGGGAGGATGACGGGAAGCTGCTCTCGGGCTGCGGAGAGAGACGCACAGTGAGATGGCCAGTGCTGCCGGCTCAGAGCTCCGGGTCTCCTTGCGGGGCTGCACTTGAGTCTCGCCGCCCAGCCCTGGGAACCCATTTGCTGAGCATGAAGCCCCCAGACTCATCAGACCCAGCGTGGGAGCCCCAGCAGGGTCACACCCTCTCGGGCATGGGCTGAGGCTGTGAGTAGAAGGGAATGCAAGGACCAGGGGCAGGGGGTGTGGGGCAGCGGGATGCGCTGCTGCTTGGGACATCTGCATCCCCCAGCTGAGTGCCTGGCGGGGGGCAGGGGGGTCCTGCTCCGGATTCCACTTCCTGCTAACGCAGACTCTGGGAGGCAGCAGAGGACGGCTCAAGTACTTGGGTCCCGGCCGTGCACATGGGAGACCCAGATTGGGTTCCAAGCTCCTCGCTTCAGGAGCCCATCCCCAGCTGGGCGTACAAGTGACCATGAAGAACCAGAGCAGCAGGGCTGCGAGAGAGCAGGCTTCGCCAGTCAACGAGAGTGCACCCGAAGCACACACCTTAAACGAGAGGAGGGAAGCAGTCCGATTCTGGAAGCTGGAGGTTTGGGGCAATCGGGGCCATCTAGCTTCCCTTCCTATGCTTCTACATAAGCAGGCCCTGGAAAAGGCTTACGTGCGTCAAGAAAGCCCAAACAAAGCAAAGGGAAAGAGAAAATCCCTGAGAAAATAGTTGCAAAAACTTGTGATTGGGCCAGCGCTGTGGTATAGTAGGCTAAGCCTCTGCCTGCGGCACCGGCATCCCACATTGGCGCCAATTAGTGTCCCTGCTGCTCCATTTCCGATCCAGCTCTCTGCTCTGGTCTGGGAAAGCAGTGGAAGATGGCCCAGGTGCTTGGGCCCCTGCACCCACACAGGAGACGCAGAAGAAGATCCTGGCTCCTGGCTTCGGATCAGCACAGTTCCGGCTGTTGTGGCCATCTGGGGAGTGAACCAGCAGATGGAGGACCTCTGTCTCTCCCTCTGTCTATAACTCTGCCTCTCAAATAAACAAATAAATCTTAAAAACAAACTTGTGATTAAAGGGTTTCCGATCTTGATGCATAAACACTTTTATTTTACAAATTGATTTCGAAAAGCACAAGACTGCCCATAGAAAAAAAGTCAAAGATTACAGAAGATGGTGCCAAAAGAATATTTATAAGATGAGAGGTCTTCCAAAACTTCACAGAAAATATGTATGTGAAAAAACTGCATGAATTTCAGGGTTTTTTTGTTCCCCAATAAATTTATCTTTCAATTATTTTTTACGTTAATTACATTATTAAGTACTCTCACGTATAAGTAATCTTCGAACTAATTGGAAACTAAACAGATGCTACTTTTTTCACCATTATATTAGAAAACTAGGGTAAAGGCTTAGTGGCAGGGGTGCAGTAGGTGAAGCCACCCCTTGGAACGCCCGCCTCCCAGATCAGAGTGCACGGTTACTTGACACTCTCCATCCAGCTCCCTGCTGATGGGCCTGGGACCCAGTGATGATGTCCTCGGCCACCCACGTGGGAGACCTGAACGGAGTTCCTAGATTCTGGCTTCAGCCTGGCCCACCCCTAGCTGTCGCAGGCATCTGGGGAGTGAATCAGCAGATATTGCTCTCTCTATCTCTCCCTTTCTCTCTGTCAGTCTGCTGCTCAAATAAATAAATCTTTAAAAAAAAAAAGACACGGTGACAGGCATTCTTGAGAGTGAGAGTGTAATCTGATATGACCTTCATAGATAACCTCATAAATATGCATCAACAGCCTTACAAATGTTCATGCTCTTTGAATTTCACTTCTACGAACCTATGCTGGGGCCTGTGTTGTGGCACGGCAGGTTAAGTCATGCGACCACCTATGGTGCCATCGTCCCATATGAGTGCCGGTTTGAGTCCCAGCTGTCTACTGCAGACCCAGCTCCCTGCTGACAGCTTGGGAAAGCAGTGGAAGATGCCCAAGTGCTTGAGGCCCTGAACCCAAGTGAGTTTCAGGCTCCTGGCCTCAGCCCACCCCAGCCCCAGCCATCGTGGCTATTTGGGGAATGAACCAGTGGATGGAAGATTCTCTTGCTCTCCGTCTCTCCTCCCCTCTCTCTGTAACTCTGCTTTTCAAATCAATAAATAAACCCTTAAAAAAATGGAAACTAAAAACCTATGTTGTGTTTGCATGATTTATCATACTGAAAAATTTTAAATCACCCTACATGTCTAACACTAGGGAATGGTTAAGTAAGTTTTAATTCATACGACTGAACAGTATGACATGATCAAAATAACATTTATAAAGAGATTTTAAGACAGGACAGTGTGTAAGATACAATCCAAAGTAAAGATAGAAACATTTAGTAATACACACATTCTCTCTTCTATTTCTGGGGGAATTGGTACCAGGACCTCCCTTGGAAACTGAAATCTGCAGATGCTGGAGTCCCTGATGTCAAAGGGCACTGTGTTTACATCACACCCACCCACATCCTCCTGTATGCTCTAAACCGCCTCTAGATGGCGCAGTAGTCTTAACACAACGGACATGCTATGCAAATATTGTTACGCTGCATTGCTTAGGGAATACTGACAATGAAAATGTACTTTTTTCAGTACAGACACAATTTTTTAAACAATATTTTGGCTTTTTTTAAAGATTTATTTATTTTGAAAGTCATTGTGACAGAGGAGCAGGGGGAGACAGAGAGAGATCTTTCACTAGTTGGTTCACTCCCCAGGTGGCCACAAGAGCCAGCGCTGGGTAAGGCTGAAGCCAGGAGCTTCATCTGGGTCTCCCACGCAGGTGCAGGGGCCCAAACACTTGGGCCATCTTTTGCTGCTTTTCCCAGACCACTAGCAGGGAGTTGGATCGGAAGTGGAACAGCCGGGACATGAACCAGCACCCATATGGGACACCAAGATCGCAGGTGGCAGTTTTACCCGCTATGCTACAACGCTGGCCCCTTAAACAATATTTCACTCTGCGGCTGGCTGACTCCCAGGTCCAGAGCGTGTGCACACGTGTGTATATACGTACACTGGTGTCTGCACACACAGGTGTGTGTGTTTCGGCCTCTGCGGCTCGCGGCGGGAGGGCCCCACTTACTGTTGCTTCCGGGGAGCTGCTGGGCCTCTTGGGCACGAGGCAGTGGGTGAACTGGATTCTTGGGTCTTTGGTGGTGATGGACAGACCGTGCTGCAGGATTTTCACCAGGCGGATCCAGAACTGGAACACGGCCTCCGGGTGTTTCTCGTGGAGCCTCAGGTAGTAGATCTTCTCGGTGACTGTCCTGACCCTCAGGATGCGCTGGAGCCGGTCGCAGATCCGCAGCTCCACGTACTTCAGGGGGAGGATCCTGGGCGTGACCGGAAGTGACCCCGTTGGTGGTGTCGACCTCGAGGGGCCTCCCGCCTGTGCCTGGGGGATGCCCGGGGCAGGGGGCAGGGAGCAGGGTAGGGCCAAGACGGGCGGCTCTCTGAGTCCCAGGGCTGTAGCTGTTAAAGGATCTGCCCACATCACTAGCAGCAGCTGGGGCCGCGGTTTGGCCGAGTAGGGAAGACAATGATTAAGATGCCTTTGTCCCACATGGAAGTACCGGGGTTCGATCCCTGGCTCTGGCTCCCGACTCCAGCTTCCTGCTAATGTGGAGGCAGAGGTGGTGACTCAAGTAATTACATTCCTGCTGTCCATGTGGGGGCCCTGGACTGAGCCCTTGTCCCAGTCCCAGCCATGGCAGGCATTTGGGGAGTAAGCAAATGGGATCTCTCTCTCTCTCTCTCTCTCTCTCTCTCTCTCTCTCTCTCTTTCTCCATCTCTGTTTAGTTGTCTTCCTGTCTCCCTGGCTCTCAGAGGAAAAAACCACACAGCTGGCATTGATGTATACTATTCCTTCTAGTTCTCACAATAGCCCTTTAAGGGGGAAAAATGAAGATCATGCATTACACTTTGCAGGTTTGGGAAACAAGGCTCAGAGAAGCTGAATGAGCTGCCCAGGCTTAGATCTTACTCAGCAGACCCTGGAAGGAGGGGTTCCTGGCCCCTGCGCAGGCCTCCTCTCCCGATATGTTCATTAGCGGTGTTGAAATGGTAAGGAGAAGGATGGACGTCTCCTGTGCAGCCAGTTTTTTTTTTTTTTTCCACTCTCGACACTTCCTAGTCCTAACTGCCTTTCACACCCTAACTTTGCTTTGCAGAGTCCCTGCTGTATACTAACCAAATAAAAGTAAACAAGAGGAAGCCAAGAGCCCCCAGATGAGGCTCAGGACAGGAACTCTGTAGTGCTTTATCCCCAGCACTAGGTATGTAGAGATGCCAAATAAATATTTGTTAAAGGAGTGGATGAATGAGCCCTACACGGCTTACACACTAAAGAACACTGCTCTTTCGTTTGCTCTACAATCCAGCTGCCAAACACGGCATAGGCTGATCTATGTTCCCACCCCCTGGCCCCTTCCTCGAGCTTGTTTTTACCTGTTGAGGGTGATGACTGGGACAGCTCCAGGCTTGTTACAGGTGGAACAGTGACCGTGTGGCCAGGTGACATTGGCCATCAGGAGGACATTAGGGAGTGGCAAGGAGGGCACTGAAGAGGTCACCCCCAGGATCATGGCAGCAGGTCTTCCGCAGATATCCATCCTGGTCCCGGACTTAGTGACCTGGGAATCAGTCCCAGGGACACAATCAGAAAGGAGAAGTGTGCCAGCACTCAGTGTAGTCATTAAGACAGCTCAGGGAGCGGTGCTGTGGCATAGCAGGTAAAGCCGCCACCTGCAGTGCCAGCATCCCATATGAGTGCCGGTTTGAGTCCCGGCTGCCCCACTTCCTATCCAGCTCTCTGCTCTGGCCTGGGAAAGCAGAGGAAGATGTCCAAAGTTCTTGGGCTCCTGCACCCATGTGGGAGACCCAGAAGAAGCTCCTGGCTCCTGGCTTCAGATTGGCACAGCTCCGGCCGTTGCGGCCAGTTGGGGAGTGAACCATCGGATGGAAGACCTCTCTGTCTATCTCTCTCTCTGCCTCTCCTCTCTCTGTGTAACTCTTTCAAATAAATAAATAAATCTTGAGAAAAAAAAAAAGCTCAGGAGCCTGGCATTGTGGCATAGTGGATAAAGCCACCACCTGCAGTGCCAGCATCCCATATGGGTGCCAGTTCGAGTCCCCGCTGCTCCACTTCTGATCCAGCTCTCTGCTGTGGCCTGGGAAAGCAGTGGAAGATGGCCCAAGTGCTTGGGCCCCTGCACCCATGTGGGATCCCGGAAGAAGCTCCAGGCTCCTTGCTTTGGATCAGCGCAGCTCTGGCTGTTGCAGCCATTTGGGGAGTGAATCAGCAGATGAAAGACCTCTCTCTCTCTCTCTCTCTCTCTCTGCCTCCCCAAGCTCACTGCAACAGGAAGCCTGTGTGGCACTTCCTTGGGTTCTCTGCAGTACTTGGCTGTGCATAGATGCACCAGTAAGAAAAAGCTGAGTGGCCTTGAAATTTTGATTCCCCTCAAGTAGGCGAAGTCAGTGCTAGTTTCTAACGGCCTGGAAAGGAGATGGTACCACCACAGTCCCAGAAGGCGCAGGCAGGGAGTGAAGGAGGAGTTGCTGTATGGGGTAGACCCACACAGCCCACGCCTGGAGAAGCTTGGGCAGCTCCCCCCAGGGGGCAGGGGGCCCAGCTGGCTGCTGGTTGTTGAATACAGAAGCACCTGCTCTCGCCAAGCATGCTGGGGCTGTGGCAGGACAGGGGCACTGGATGCCTGGCACTAGGCACAGTGTTTCAGCTGAGACAAGCTCATCTCACGTTCCAGGGCTGATGGCAAAACAGCAGTGCTGCGGCCTCGAAGGAGCCACGGGGGCAGAGGGAGGAACACGTGGAGAGAGGCCAGTGCCCGAGGCCAGTGGGCCTTTTTGCGATGGTCTAGACTTTGCAGGACAACCTGAGAACCCTTGCACAGTGCCTTGTAGAACTGGGGACAAGGAGGAAGCTCAGGAATAACTAAAATTTCACTGTCCACCCACCTGACCAGACAGCATTTCAAGAAAAGTGGATTTTGATTTTGGAAAAAAGTGACATTTCTTGGAGCCCGTGTTATAAAATGAAATTCATACCCCTACAAATCATAGAGACTGTACACACTGAGAGTCAGTGTGCACCATTTAGAGGTGACGCTGCTTTGAGTGACGACAGTGATGGAGACATGGAGGAGATGGAAGAGAACCAGCAGCACACTACACCGTAACTACGACACCATGACTGTGACTAACTCTGTGCTGTAACTACACTACACCACGACTGTGACTAACTCTAACTATGCTGTAACTACAGCTACACCATGACTGTGACTAACTCTAACTCTACCATAACTACAGCTACACCATGACTGTGACTAACTCTAACTCTACCATAACTACAGCTATACCATGACTGTGACTAACTCTAACTATGACATAATGATAACTACACCATAGCTATAACCATACCATAACTATAACTACATCATAACTACTATAACTATATACTATAACTATACCATAACTACAACTACACCATGACTATACAACATAATGATAACTACACTATAACTATAATCATACCGTAACTATGACATAACTATAACATTAAAACTATACCATAACTATAACTACACTATAACTATGGTATAAAGATAACCATACCATCTATAAACACACCATAAATATAACATTATATACCATAGCTATATCATAACTATAACATACTGTAACTATAATAAAACTATACCATAACTATAACTATACCATAATCATAGCTATATCATAGCCATAACTGTACATATACTATATACCTGTATACTATATGACTACACATACTATAACTAGACTGTATGATCTTTATAACTGGCCATGTGAGTGGAATCATTTTAAGTAAGCTTTGAACTCTGTTGTGGGTCAGCCTTGCCCTGGCACATTGTGAGTTTCCTGCTGCCGGGTCACTTGGTGTCCATTTAGAGAATCTAAATAGTTTTAAAGGAAATACATTAACAGAACAAATCTGCTAGCAAAACATCACACCCATAGAGAATCGACTAGGACTTGGGTTCTGAGTCCAATTACCTGTGCTATGGCTGCTATGTGTTAGAATGAGCTGTTCCCTCAGGTTTGCCTACTGATGGCCCAACTAGACAACCCCTGGGGCAGCACAGGGCCAAATGGAACACCCGGAGCCAAGGACATAGCTCTCCCAAATCTGGGGGACTTCAGCAGGAGTGGTTCATTGCTTGGTGAAGAATCTGCAGCTTAGGCTCAAGACCCATCTCTAACTGCCCCACCCATTTCCTCCTACAACTCTTACCTCTCCACTCCACCCAAGCGGATTCTCCTCCTACAGATCCTTTCTGTGCCTCCCACCCCCACCCCCCCGCCTTTATCCAGGTACCTTGAAGATCCTCTCCCTGGAATCTCCCATCCCCCTGCTCTCCCGCTAACGGAAGTCCCAGCGACCCCAACAACAGCTCAAGACTGGAAAGCCTTCTTCCGCTGCCCAAGTCCAGAGAGACTGCTCCGAATGCCCCAGCCCCACACTCTGTTCCCATGCCGTGGGGATTGGCTCACCCACCCTCTGACAAGAGCCTGCATGGTTACCATTTTATAAGGGGTGAATCAAGCCCATAAGCTTCAGGATCGGGGACAGTATCTGGACTTTCTTTGCACCTCCCCCACTGCTCACGGTGAGTGTTTAGTGGCTGATTCACCAGTTACGGCACACCTGTGAAGCTGCACAGGTGCACAGGCTAGGCTAGACCCCTGGAGGGAGACGGGCAGCACCTGGGTGAGACCTGGCACCTGTTCCAGCGACCACTGACTCCTGCAGGTGCGCCATGCCATCCTGGGCCACCATGCTCACTTCCACTGGATTGGTCATTGTGCCACCCTTCTGGGGAATGACAGAGTGTGAGGGAGACCAATCTATGTAGTGGTCTTGCATTCAAACCATGCTGTTTCTAGACCACCTCAGGGAGAGGCTGGATTCTCAGTGGGGTTTCTAACTGCAGGCGTCATTCCCTGTAACATCCAGTTTGGACCAGTGTCTGGGGCCTGCCCAACGACTGAACTCAGATTTCTACATTTGGAAGATGTGACTCTGTTTCCTTAAGGCATATGCCAGCAGAGAATTCCTTCACATTGCGGGCACAGCTGGGATCAGGGCCCTTGGGCTTTCTCTAGCTGTGGAGGGTTCTTTCTCCTCCCCAGGGCTTTCAAAACCCACGGCATTTTCTCGCCAACCCCTAGAACAGGATTTGGAGAGGGCAACACAGCTGCCCCTGCTGCCCAAGGGTACCTGGATAAAGTTGCTTTCGAACACCGCTGAGCCAGAGAACAAGTTGAATTCTGGAGAATGAATCAGTTGACAGAGAAGGCCATCTTCCACCCCAAGCTTCACCCCAGGGCCTGGTTCCCTGACTACGGGTGAAAGGCCCTTAGTTTTCCTCATTGGTTCTTGGGAGGAATGGGCTGGGGGACATCTCTGGGGCTCCACGCAGACCCAGCCCAACCCCAGGTGTTGGTGTGACCACAGCTCCCCCCAGCTGCACAGCTCCACGTGCCCTCCTTGTTTAGGCTGTCCAGCAGTGCTGGGAGGGCCTGCCGGCTCACAATGGCAAGAATGACATCAAGGAATGTGACAGCAGCCACAGGAAAGGGAAAAAGAAGAGGAGAGGAGGGGCAGGGGCTGTCCAGGGCTTTTTTCTCCCTCCTTCCACTGCTATAAACCAGTGTATGTAGCCTACCCTGTTTTTCACACACTCAATCTTACCCCAAACTGCAGGAAAATGACCCTCTCAAAGCTATGCCAAGACAGCAGCGAGCTGACCAGAGCAGCCAGGAAGGCTGTGGGAGCACCACCAATGGCCCTCACTCTCCTTTGCCAGCTAAGACGTTCATGAAACCTTTCTCTGTGGGCAGGGACTGTTCACGAACGCCAGCCCCACCTGCCCCAGGGGTCTCAGCATGGGGAAAAGGGGCCCACCTTCCCTACCTCACATCTTGGGATTGAGCGAGAATCTTCTTTAAAACAGAAGGCTGGGGGCCGGTGCTGTTGTGTAGTGGGTAAAGCTGCCACCCATGGCGCTGGCATCCCATGTGTGCGCCAGTTAGAATCCCAGCAGCTCCACTTGTGATCCAGCTCCCTGCTAATGGCCTGGGAAAGCAGTGGAGGATGGCCTAAGTCCTCAGGCCCCTGCACTCACATGGGAGACCCAGAGGAAGCTCCTGGCTCCTGGCTTCACAGCGGCCTGGCTCTGGCCCTTGCAGCCATCTGGGGAGTGAAGCAGCAGATGGAAGATCTCTCTGTCTCTCTCTCTCTGTAACTCTGTTTTTCAAATAAATGAATAAATCTTAAAAAAAAAAAAAGAATGCTATTAGACAACGTGGCTGATTGATCCAGAAACCGTGGGCATAGGAGGAAGCGGTGGCACAGGGTTCTGCCAGAGCTGGCTCCAAACAGGTCATGAGAATGTGGTTAAATTTGCAGGACTTCTACAAGTCAATTGTTAGACACAGCCATTATTAAAAGTTGAATCATAAAAACCTACAATTAAGTAACATCCAAAACAAAGGTAATAAATGGCCAAAATTCATTATTTATCAATTATTTTACTGCTCTCTACATTTTTAGATTTTTTCATTACTTATTTTCATTTTATTTGAGAGGCAGAGACACACATAGAGTCAGAGAGAGAGAGAGAGCATGACCTTTCACCTGCTGGGTCACTCCCCAAATGCCTGTTACAGCCAGCACTGGGCCAGACTCAAGCCAGAAGCCAGAAACCCAATCTAAGCCTCCTCTAAGGGTGACAGGAGACCAAGTAAGTGAGTTATCTACTGCCTCCCAGGAAGCCAGAGCAGAAGCAGAGGAGCTGGACTCAAGCTAGATATGGGATGTGGGCATCCCAAACAGCGACTTATAAATTACCCATCATCTAAGAGCTCACCAGGGCAATTATAGACACTTTGAATCTAATAAAAAGAAAACACAACAGATCAAAAATTATGATCTGCAACTAAAGACCCTGATGGAGTTTCTAGCTCCTGTTTTTGACCTGGCCCACCCCTGGCTATTGTGGCCATCTGGGGAGTGAAGCAGCAGACGGGAGATATCTCTTCCTCTCTTTCTCCACTCTCCCTCTCTAACTCTGCCTTTCAAATAAAATAAATCTTCTTAGAAAAATCAATGACGGGCTGGTGTTGTGATGCAGCAGGTTAAGGGGCTGTCTGCAATGCCAGCATCCCATATGAACTTGGGTTCAAGTCCTGACTGTTCCACTTCTGATCCAGCTTCCTGCTAACGCACCTAGGAAAGCAGTGGAAGATGGTTCAAGTCCTTGGGCCCCTGCAGCCATGTGGGAGATCTGGAAGAAGCCCTGGCTCCGGCTCCTGGCTTTGGACCAGCACAGCTCTGGCCGTTGCGGTCATTTGGGGAGTGAAATAATGGAATGGAAGATTCTCTCTCTCTGGCTCTACCTCTCTATAATTCTATCTTTCAAATAAATAAAATAATTCTTTAAAAAACAATAAAATTGATAAAAATTGAGCAACTTATAGCTAGAATAATCTAGAAAAAAAAGAGAGAAAACAGAATTTGCCAATTCAGAAGAAAGAGGAGACATTAGTATAGATTTTATGGATTTTAAAAGTATAATAAGGGAGGCTGGTGCTGTGATGTAGCAGGTAAAGCTATCGCCTGCAGCACTGGCATCCCTTCTGGGCACCAATGCCTGTCTTGTATGCTCTACTTCTGATCCAGGTCCCTGCCAATGCACCTCAGAAAAGCAGTGGAAGACAGCTCAGTGTTTGGGCCCCTGCACCCATGTGAGAGACCTGGATGCAGCTCCTGGCTTCTGGCTTTGGCTTGGCCTTTGCAGCCATCTGGGGGGTGAGACAGCAGATGGAAGATCTCTCTCTCACTCTGTCTTTCCCTCCCTCTCTCTGTAACTCTGCCTTTCAAATAAATAAATAAATAAATCTTTTTAAAAAAATATAATAAGGAAATAAGTTTAGCAACATTATGCCAATAAAGTTGACAGCTTAGATCTTCTATGCAAATGCCATCAAATGGAAATGATTAAAACTGACTTAAACTTATTTGGGCAAAATTGAATACACATGTATATTCATACCAAAAAAATGAATTTTTCATTAAAGAGCTCCTCATAAGTGAAACTTCAGGCCCATATGGTTTTACTGGAGAAGTCTGTGAAGCATTAAAGTAATAAGCAATCTTAAAAAATTTAAGATCAATCTTATACAAACTCAGGAGATGGAATAGGAAACAATTCCCAACTTATTTTATGACTCAAGCATTATCAAAACCAGAAAAAGACAAGGTAAAAAAAGAAAGCATAGACCACAGATCAGCATTACTCATGAATATGGCACAAAATTCCTTCACAATGAAGAAATAAACTATGTTCATGGACTGGGAGATACAGTCTTAAGATGTCCATTCTCCTTAAGATTGATTTCAGTTTTTTTTTTTTTTTTTTTGACAGGCAGAGTTAGACAGTGAGAGAGAGAGAGAGAGAGAGAGAGAAAGGTCTTGCTTTTCCTGTCGGTTCACCCCCAAGTGGCCGCTACAGCCAGCGCGTTGCGGACGGCACACTGCACCAATCCGAAGCCAGGAGTCAGGTGCTTTCTCCTGGTCTCCCATGCGGGTGCAGGGCCCAAGCACTTGGGCCATCTTCTACTGCTTTCCCAGGCCACAGCAGAGAGCTGGACTGGAAGAGGAGCAACCGGGACTAGAACCTGGGGTGCTGGTCCCACCCAGGTTTAGTCTAGTGAGCTGCGGCACCAGCCTGATTTCAGGTATTTTTAAATAAAATTTTGAACAAGTGGTACATTCACAAGCTACAAACATTAAAAAGTGTCCTAAGGGAGACAAGGAGTTGTCTCCTTCCTATCCTTCAGTCATTGGCTTAGTTTCCACCCCTCCCCACAAATGAAGCCACTGTTGCTATTTTAGAAATTATTTATGTAAGAGTATTTCAAAATTTTGTGGAATTGAAAGATAAGTTTATTTTGGTACAAAAAAATTGAAATCCATGCATACAAAGTCTTCAAAAAGTTCATGAAAATGCACATTATAAAAAAAGAATGCAATTCAACATTTTGCATCAAAATAAAAATTATATTTTGTTTAAAATATTGTTCATTTACTTTGTCTTGAAAGGAAAAGTGACAGAGAGAACCACAGACAGAGAGGAAAAGAGATCTTCTACCCACTGGTTCACTTTCCAGATGCCTGCAACAGCCAGGCCTGGCTTAGGGCAAAGCCAGGAGCCAGAAACTCCAACCAGGTCATGCCACATGGGTGGCAGGGACCCAAGTACTTGAGCCGTCATTTGCTGCCTCTCAGGCACATTAGCAGGAAGCTGGATAGAAAGCAGAGGCAGGACTCAACCCAGGCACTCCAATATGGGATGAAGGCATCCTGAGCATTTGGCACTACAATAAACTTGTCCTTTTATTCCATTTTCTGCTCTTAACCTTCTTGCAAGAAAGATGGCGGGTGTAAAACCTCCACTCCAAAGCCAGACACTGAGAAGAAATCTCCAGCCAAGAACGCTAACCATGCCAGCGGCAAGGTTACAAAGCCCGAGAAGGAGAAGCCCTGCTCACAATCCGCTGTGTGCTCCAGGAAGGCCATGGACAGGAGGAAATCCAGCAGTGAAAAGAAGGAGAAGCTTCTTGCTACTGTCACAAAACCAGTGGGTGGTGACAAGAATGCGGGCACCAGGGTGGCCAAGCTTGGCAAAATGCCTGCATATTATCCCACTAAAGACGTGTCTCGAAAGCTATTGGTCCACGGCACAAAGCTCTCCGTCAACAGCACGTGGGGAAACCGTGGGCCGGCATCTCCCGCTGACAATTCTGCTCATCCTCAGTGGGCGCTACGGGGGCAGGGGTGGTCTTCCTGTAGCCGTGGACTGCTACCTGTGACTGGACCTCTGCCCCTCGATCAGGTTCTTCTGTGTGCAACACACTGGAAACCAGTCATGGCCACCTCCACGGGAAGCAGTGTGCAAATCCCCAAACCTCTCACCGCTCCTTATTTCCAGACGCAGCTGCTGCAGAAGCCCCGACAAGGGGCTCTACAACACAGAGAAAGGGGAGCTCTACAACGCAGAGGAGGAGAAATACGAAATCACAGGGCAGCACAGGGTTGATCAGAAAGCTGTGGACGCACAGATTTTACCAAAAATCAAAGCTGTTCCTCAGCTCCAGGGTTACCTGAGATCCGGTTTGGCTCAAAGGAGTGGAATTCATCCCCATAAATGTGTGGTTCTTCTAAGATGTATTGATTTGAAAGGCAGAGGTACAGAGACAGAGGGAGAGATGGAGAGCCCTTCCCTCCGCTGGTTCCCGCCCCACATGGCCCACAGCCACCAGAGCTGGGCCAGGCTGCAGCCAGGAGCCAGCAGCTTCTTTCAGGTCTCCCACGTGGGAGGCACAGCAGGCAGCGGCTTAACCTGCAACAGCACAATGCTGGCCCCACAAACTGTGTTCTAAATTTTGTAGGAAGAATATAATTAAATAACTGATACTAAAAAGTAATAACTCCATTTCCCATGAGTGTT